ATGTGTCTGCACAAATGCATTCAAGGTTGAATATTAGAAGGTAGTCCAGTTTTGTGCCCTTCCTCCACTACTTCGTCTGCAGTTGTTGATGTTTTATAATTATCTCTGCAAAACTTGTTTTATTTTTCATTGGCAAAGACTTTTCAATTTTTGCATTCTACTTTGCTTCTCAACCATCTCATAATTGATTGGCTTGAAATGGTCATTGGCGAACGTTTGTTCTTTAGCTTTGCGCAGAGGCGATATCGTAACCAATGAAGTTCTACTGAGGTGCGATTATTGCTAGTTGAAAACTTTAACCAATACCCCGCCATGGGGACGTGAAATACCGTCCACTACGGCAATTTTTGGAAGCCCGAGAGGGCTCATTAATGAATACATTCCGAAGATTTCTATTTTTAATTGAATTAAGTTGGGAATTTTGAAATCTTCTTCTTATAACAAAAATAGGATTTTTATTTACAAAAAAAAGTATCTTGAGGTGCTCTTTGTATCTAATATATAAAGCTTGTTTTATTATACCTTTTTGCTTTCGAAAGTAGAGTTTTTTTCAAATCCCATTTTTGGCAAGGCAACATAGAACCAGCGTTGCCGTTTTGGTCCAATTGGACCAAAAATGGTAGCTTCATTCTTCTTTGGTAGAGCTTCATTGGTTTGATGAAACTTTTGGTAGGCCAACATGTTTTGAAAATACAACCAAATTGAGCATTACAATTTGTTCGCTTCATTTGCGTTTACAAAACACTGCTTTCTTTTTTGCTCACACGTATAAATTTCTTTGTTTTTTTTCTATATTTTATTAGGCAGACAATTTTCTGCAAACAAAAATTCATTTCCCAAAGCTATGACCGATTAGCTGTTGAAATAGAACGAGAATTACTTATCGCAATTTGCAAAGTGTGAGTGGATTGGTAAAACAGGATGAGTGTATGCAAATTGAAACAAATTTGGAATTTTTTTTTTAAATGCATAAAGTGTTGACATGAATTGAATTAATTTAAAATTTACATTTTTTACAAAAGTTTTTTTCTACAATACGGTAATTTTATTTTTATTTTTTTTTTTAGCCCATTCAATTCAAAGTGCAAATTTTAGGTAGCTTGGACTTACCGTAGATTTTTGTAAATTTTTTTTTTGTGGAAGATGTTGTTAATTTTTTCTTTACATACAACAAAAAAATTTTTGAACATACTTTGTATGGAGGAATATACGCGAACAAAAAAATTTCCAAAAATAAACGGTAAGAGCAAGCTACTTAAATTTCGCACTTTTTTATACAACAATTTAATGGGCTACAAAACTGCATACTCAAAAAACTTCTAGAAAATGTGATTAAAATATTTAAAATTTTGATCAATATTTGTTAAAATTCGTCGAATTTTTATAAATATTCTATAAAATTTTAAATTTTGATTGACACGATTTTTTAGATAGTAAGATATATTTTCATAAAAAAATAATAAACATTTTTTAAACAAAGAAAAGTAGTCAAAACTTGCTAAAACGTCTTTTCGCTATTTACATTCTCGCCATCTTACACAATTATTGTGTGTATACATTTTTGCGATAATTTTTCAACAAAAATCTAAAATTCCCTTATTGATAAATTATAATGCATTTCACCGAATTACACAAGTCCCCACAAGATTTTATGCAAAAGCAATTTTTGTTAGTTACGGCTTTTTTCATTTCAGGTGACGATGTGTATTTTGCATTAATTTTAGCTGTTGCTCAACGAGTTGCGGTTTATATTAACAACACACATATACATACATATTTGCTTTTGGGGGCATTCATTCTCTTTTGAGTGCTCTTATGGTCCTCAATCATCTTGAAAGCGATCTTAAAATGCTCGCCAATATAAGGCTGATATTACATCAGCTTTGTCAAACTAAAATTTTCTTAAGAAATCAAATAAACAAATGTATTAGGCAGTTTCTGAAGGTTACATATTTGTTAAAATTTGTTTACTTAGATTTGTGGTTTGTGCTTAGTAAAATAAATTCCTAGTTGATTTGGAAAAACATGAATGTTGCATCATCTTAGCGGAAATTATTAGGCTTTTATAGTTGTGCCGATTATAAGCTTAATAAGGTCGAAATTAGCAACTTGTATATAAAAATCACTTAATTAATTAATTGCTGCATTATATTGCCGAAATTTATACCAAAACACATTACGTGATTTAATAAAGCTACATACACAAAAAATATCGCCTTGTGAATCCTACATACATATAACTTCAATATCAAGATCAATATTCTACAAATATATGTATGTTTGGTTGTATGTACGAATGTACGTATATATGTATGTATGTATGTATATGCATAATTAAATACGAATTTAAATTTCTCTATCAACTAAATATTGAACTTATTATATTTATGGGTTATCACTCAACGACGTGTCCTAATGTGCAAACGAATTATTGTCTACTACATATTGAGTTTCTTTTGTGCAAAATTTTTATTGGAATGCGACTGATTGTCAAATCAACATATCTACATACATAACGTATTTCTGTACAATCCTCAAAAAAAAAATTGGACATAGTATGTACGCTATACATTTATGTATGTATATGCATGTGTGTTTATGTACCGGTTTTCGTCGTTTTTTTTTTGACATCTCTAGACACTTTTTTTTTTATTTTAAATTTTCAAACCGAATAAACTGGATTTTTTGTTATCACACGAGCCGGCCTTTTCACCTAGTTTAAATATGTACATTCTATATGCCTGTTTCTTTAAAATTTATTTTATTAAAAATGTACCTCACAAAAAATGTCTTTAATTTTATACCTAAACACGGGAAAATTTCCTGCAGTATATTTAATTTTGAAAGTTCTTCTTTAAGCAATACGCTCTGAATTCCATTGAGAAGCTTAGTACATCTTATTAAGAGTTCCAATTAAAAAAAAATAAAATAAGTATTCAAACATGAAAAAGCGAGAACTTTTTTCTTTTAATCAAAATACTTGCAAGTGGCAAAATAAATATATGTAAATTTTAAATATTTCAGCAACACACGAAAATGGAGGTTTTGCACGATCGTTTGTATGGTTTTTCAACTGTTAAAATTTTACCTTGCATTTGGCATAGCAAAATTCAATTTATTCGTACACCATAGTAAATTTTTCCACTCCGTCTCACCACGGAGAAAAATTTACCGACTGGCACACACTTATGCCAAACCCAGGGTTGAGTGTATTTATGTAAATTAAAAATGACGAATCCAATATGGGGGTCAAATTCTGAAAATAATTCAATTCTTATAAGGTTTGGTGCCTTTGACCACCGTCTTGGGGTAGCCATTTTAAGTTTTGAGAATCTGTCCGTGGATGCCGAAATAGATAAGAGATGAAGTCCGTCAATATTTATAAAAAAAAAATTCTCGTAAAGTTCGCCATGATTTTGGAGGTTAGAAAAAAACTCTGACGTGATGGATAAAAACGGACTTCAGATTCGTGTTCAATGACCCTAAAACATATGGAACAGCTAGTCTGGTGCAAATAACATTTTATCATTTTTCTTTTGCTGTAGTCCTGTGTTACTTATTATTTATTTAGTTTTTTTATATTACCGAACTTGAAAACTGAGTTTTGATTTTTCTTACTTATGTTTCAAGGTTCAAAGAGAAAGGTTAAATCGGTTAGATTACACAATTTTTTTTTTTTTAAATGTTGAAAATCAAAATTTTATAGATATGTCATTAAAAAGATCACTATATGGCTTTATTTGCAAAAGATATCTAAATTTGAGACATTTTTTCGAGGTCTTTCGTACCTTAAGTAAATAAAAAAATACCCTTATTAAAGCGGAAGTATCGCTCTCTTCAAGCCTGGTTCCGAATGTGTACGAAACTTTTCAAAAGTTAAATTCTGACTAACGGTATTATAATAACCAAAAAAACTTTTCAGCTTAGAGATTGCAGATAATCTTTTTTCTTTTAATTTACTACTATATATGTAAGTAGTCGTGAGAACGCGAGCCAAAAATGGTGAAGACATATGTATGTATGTTTGTATAACAAGTTAATTACCGGATGGCTGAACACGAGCTAAAGACTAGAATTCAAAGCGAAAATATTGTTTGACAATTTTTGCCTTTTCGACTGCAAAAATTCATCCAAGTTACTAAAGCATTGCTATTAAGTTAACATGGGAACACACACATACATATGTACATATAATTTTTGTACGTCAAAAACTGGAAAAATTCAGTTCTTTTGCACATTTTTTGTTTGAACAGTTGTGTTTAATAAGTCGTGGTACTTAGATATACGGCGCATTTTTTAAAACGCAATTTCTTTAGTACACTCATTTTAAGCTTTTGACTAATTTTTGCCTATGCCCAAGGTGCTCGTTCGCATTATTATTATTATTTTTTTTTTGTACTTATTCCCGAAACCTGAAAATTCAACTATTTCACCTTTTAATTGTATGCATTCAATTCTTGCGTTTTTTTTTTTGGGTGCTTTACTGAATAGAGGTTTGCCACACTTCCCCTTTAAACATGTGCAATGTGTACATACATACATACATATGTACATATGTAGGTATATACTCAGGTAGATATATGCAAGCGTTCCTACGAAAGATGTTAATGATTATACAATGAAAGCACGCCACGATTTCATACACCTTTGAACTTGAAGCTTCTGCGTTATAATTTAAAAAAGTGTTTAAAAGGCGCAAGTGCTTCAATCACATAAGTAGTGCATTACCGGTGAATTAATTAATTACATATCCACATACATACATACATACACAAGGTTTTAAAAGCTTACAAGTAAAACATAGTACGTAGTACATAAAATGTGAACTTCTAGATGACAAAGGAAGAGACATCAACTGAATAGACATTGCAGTTAATTAATAAAAACCAAAATAAATACTTTACTGATCTTAAAGCATAATTTGTTCTAAACGAGTGCATTTTCATTTTTGAGATATACATACATATTTTTTTATGCAATTTTTTTTAACTTACTTTCAGGATATATTCCGCAATCAACATCGACTCATACGCTTCATTGAGCAATCCATACGTTTGTGCAGTAATCAGTCACTGAAAACTTTACAAAAGCAAGCTAAACAGAAAGCAGAACCTGAATTTGAGATCACCGCTTCCATTTCCGCCCAATATACCGTTGCCCCTGAACCTATCAAGCATGATAAAGATGTTGGCCAACAATTCGCGGCCGCACAATTATCTGTGCGTTTGGCATCGCCGCAGCAGCTGCAACCGAAACCGGACAGCGATGAGATGCTAGGCTTTGGCAGAGTATTCACAGATCATATGTTGAAAATCTACTATCATCGGAGTTTGGGTGGCTGGCAGCGACCTGAAATTACACCACTCGAAAATCTTGTGGTGCATCCCGCGGCAAAGGTGTTACACTACGCTGTTGAGGTAGGTGAAGTGGTTGTTGAATTCATTGTTAGGCTATTAATAAGCTAATATATAAGTAAAAGTTGTCTATTAGCGGTCCTGCTGGTTAGTTAAGTTCGTTTTTGTTTTCGTCACGTTTTTTAAAGAATACTTGAATTCTTTTGACCATAGCCTTAGATGTGTTGTGGAATGTATCAGCTTCTAACTAAATATTTAGCACGTAAAAGATCAATGAGTGTGTGTCATTACCAGGACCGGGGAAAATAAGCAAAAAAAAATCAATTTTCAGCGCCTAGATAAGCACTAAAACACTGACAAATATAACTAAAAAGGCGTCTTACAAAACATTTTAAAGGTTACACATAAGGCACAAATTCAGATTGCTTACAGCTCAGCCTCATTACAATAGACCGTTTGTTGCCGGATCTATACACACACGCATCGGTTCCGTCCTCCATCTCCGACCCATCTGTGTACCAGTCTATATATCTGGGATTAAATTGAGCTGAACCATTCAAATATATAAAAAATATTGAAACAGTGAACTTCAAACCAGAAGCGACTCTAGATCCGCGGGTGAACAAATTGTGATTGATCCTTTGGCTGAGATTAAAATCAACCTTTAAAAGTTTTTTCGAACGTGAAATTACAGTCTTTTAAGTGCATTTGATGGGCACTCCAACTTAGTATCTTATCGAGGATGATTCCAAGGTATTTGACTTCAGAGTATTCAAGAAATATCTCTCCCAGGGTGACCGAACCAAGTTTTGGCTTATACATTCTTGTAAACGCTAAATGAACAGCTCATATCCTGAAATCCTTTTTGAAGAGTGTGGCGTCCGCTTTGTGGCATGTAGCGTCCACCTGCTGGAACCACATGTCCTTCACGTCCATACCATTCAATTCGCATTCAACGCGCAAGCCGAAAATCAAAACGAATATTAATTGAATAATTACTTGCTTATAGGCGCTTTTTTATTACCCGGTAGTATGATGAACGCGGGAATGAGGAACCTTTGCCTTGAACTTAAAAAAAAAAAAAAACGGTAAAGTCATGGGATCACTGAGGCATATTAAGTAGTGACTGCATAAGTTAAAGATTACATTGCCACAAGAAAAAGTGTACGGATCTGGGAATAAGACATATGTATCCCTATGTATTTTAAAGCGTTGGATCCGGCATCGGAATCAGTCTAACGGGTCTGAGTTCAGCCCTCACTTTTTTTGAGTTTAGGAAAAATCCCAACGTGTTGTAGCGAAACGGACTTCAAATTTAGATACATAGGAACGCATATCCCTCATTCCCAGATCCTGAGAGCTTTTTATGTCGAGCTTTGTTATGGGTTACACAGCCACACAAAAAAAGTGTCGGGGTTCCTTTAACGAATTGAATACGAGTACGTTTTGCTCCTACACGTCAGGAGTTTTTTCTTACATCAAGTTTCTTGTGGTTAGGGCTGAACCCAGACCCGTTAGACCGATTATGATGCAGGATTCGGATTCATTGCGTCAAAATACATAGCTATATTCGGAGTTCTCTTGAGGCTAAAAGTATACTTGAAATTCGATTATCTATCTCCTAAGTTCTGCGGCAGTTTAGACTCATACATTTAAGGATGCACTGAACTACTGCTATTATCGTGTATTAAAAATTAAATACATGAAAATTAATAACATATACTAAATTTTTTCCAGCTTATCATTATGTATATATGTATGCACATTTGTATTTCATTTAAAAAGTAAATTAAGCCCTTCAGAAAAACAAACCAATTACTAGGAGTCAGAACTGTTGCCAAGCGATTACATGCTGATAAGCTGTAACTATCGAGCCCTAACCGCCAAAATAACGTAAGCGACATTTTTTTTCAAAATTTTCTTTTTGATGCAGAAATGCTTCTAGATGCTCTAGGAATATTTCTGCATCAAAAAGAAAATTTTGAAAAAAATGTCGCTTACGTTATTTTGGCGGTTAAGGCTCGATATGTATTTGTAAATACTTATGTACATATGTATGTATGTACCATGTAACGCTTATTTTTACTTTTATTTTGGTTAGTGTTTATGATTGTTGACCTTCAGAGGATTGCTTTTCACTTTATTTTCATTAACTCGGAGCATTCAGATGAGAACCCCATTTAGACCGAGGTGCTGGAAAGTAGGCTTTGCAAAGAGATAAACACAGTAAATGGATTTCGAATAGATATATTTTTCGATGTGAAGCAATCGTTAGAAGAAAGGATATTCTGCTACTCAGATCTTTGTGATAACAATGTATCTTAAATAGATAATTTCACAATCAAATATGAGCTGGAAGATCAGAAAACAGCAGGATATCAAAACAAATAATTGTTTTCTTATTTATTTTAGTAAACCCTTTTTTATTATATATGTACATACACACATATATACTAAAAAATCTATAATCCGCGCACTTTTTCAGCTCTTCGAAGGCATGAAAGCGTATCGAGGTGTTGATGGCNGATTTCACAATCAAATATGAGCTGGAAGATCAGAAAACAGCAGAATATCAAAACAAATAATTGTTTTCTTATTTATTTTAGTAAACCCTTTTTTATCATATATGTATATATATACTAAAAAATCTATAATCCGCGCACTTTTTCAGCTCTTCGAAGGCATGAAAGCGTATCGAGGTGTTGATGGCAAAATCCGTATTTTCCGGCCCAACATGAACATGAATCGCATGAATGTTGCCGCCAATCGTTCCGGTCTACCCACATTCGAAGGTGAAGAATTCATCAAATGTCTTTCCCGCCTCATATCAATCGACTCTGAATGGGTGCCACATACCGAAGCTGCCAGTTTATATATCCGCCCCACACTGATCGGTATCGATCCGATGCTTGGTGTCGCCTCCTCAGATTCTGCCCTGCTCTACACAATCCTCAGCCCTGTGGGTAGTTACTTCAAAGCCGATAACGATGGTGCAGTCTCACTGCTCGCGGATCCACGCTACACAAGGTGAGTTAAAAAAAATTTAAATACATAGTTACTAACTTCACAAAATTTTAATTTTGATTTTGTTCTCCAGACGCCACTATCCAACGCGCACTGATTGCGAAAATCGAGTTAATTTTTTTTTTTTTTGTATGGATACGTTTTCGAGATATTTGCCATTTACCGTTATTCAGCTCAAAAAAAAAAGCGTTGTTCCACTTAATCAGGAATATCTAACGAGCCAATCAAATAACACGAGATATGGGAAATGAAAGCAAATAAAATTCTGCATAAACTGTGTATACATCACTTTTCGATAGCCCGGACAGTTTCTGAGAAATTAATTAATCATTACAGATTTTTTTTGATGGAAAAATGCAAAAAATTTAAACTTCAACAGAGAATAAATTCAAAAAATAACAGTTCCTGTGTAAATATTTTGCACTTGTGTTAAAGCCTGTTCCTTTGAAAAAAATGTAGCTAACAATGCAGAAAATAGATGGATAAATAAGAAAATAATGGTTGGTCAAATGAAAATGCGCAAGAATTTATTGTATGAAATATGAGCAGAAAAGAGTGTTACTCATGCGCCACGTAGACCTGAAAGGTAGAGTGTTTGCATCGAAAACAAGAGGTGTCAGATATGATTAATTAATGTCTCAGAAATTATAAGGGTTATCGAAAAGTGATGTATATACAGTTTATGGAGAATTTTATTTTCTTTCATTTACTATTTGTTTAAACTGAATAAAGGTAAATTGCAAATATCTCAAAAAGTTATCCATAGAAAAAAGAACAATCTAGATTTTCGGAATCACCGAGCAATTCTATATAGGAATTGGATAGTGGCATTCATAGAACATTTTTGCTGTAAACCAGTGCTTTTAATTAAATTTCATATGTACATTTTTATATGCATAGAGCGTGGCCCGGCGGCGTGGGTAATCGTAAAATGGGATCCAACTACGCACCTACGATCTATGTACAAAAAGAGGCTGCCCAAAAGGGACTCCAACAAGTATTGTGGTTGTATGGCGAAGATCATCAACTAACCGAAGTTGGCACAATGAACATATTCATGTTCTACGCCAATGAAAAAGGAGGTAAGCGACTGATTTCTCTTTTTTAAATAGCTGCGCACAGTTTACGAATTTGGAAAAAAGCCACAAAATTAAATATCTTCAGAACGGGAAGAGATAACGAAATACATTTTTAGAGATGCAGAACTCTGGAAAATTAGTCGCGTTGTATAAAAGAATTACCTTGACCTTTTAAATTAACTTCAAATATAGTACGTTTTAATTTTTTTTTTGCCTGAAACCAGTATTCAAAAAATTTTTAAAAAAGTATCGAAGTCCATTTCCATGGTCGCAAGGACCAAACGAACCATTAACATTTTTTTTTTAAGCAAAGAAGTAATTTTTAAGCACAGCACAAACCCGACTTCAATACTCATATAAAAATTTAAAATTAGCGTTAATTTCTTTTCAATCCAATTATCGGTACCACCTTTCCTATGAAAAATTTATCGAAATCGATTAACGTGGTCGAAAGTTATGCGGTAACATACATAAAAAAATAAAAAGTAATAAAATAGAATATTCCGACGAACTGATAACCTTCTGATTTTTGTGAAGTCGTTTAAAAATACAACCGACTTCTATGCTCATTTAAAAATTTAGGAGTACCGTTAACTTTTCATGATCCAATGATCAGAGCTAAACCAAATTAGTGTATACATATGTACTTACAAGAAACGGAATTACTCCACAATTTGTCCGATATGTGGCGCGGATGTGAATATATTTGGAAAACCCGTATTTTTAATCCGATTTGGGGGTACAGTTTAGTAAGTGACCCAACTATTTCGGGGTATTGCATCCAAAGGGGTGACCCAATCCAAAAAGAATTTGCACACACTTATAGACAAGGGTCTACAAATTATTTTAACACTTATCTTTGTAATTTATGGCTACTAATTTATTTAGAAATTCAGTTTGAATTATACTCTTTCTTCATAAAATTCGGAAATTAGCGTACATTTACCACTCTTATTCTCCTTAAAACAACCACTTCCCTAATACATTTTTATATTCCGCTTCACTTTACACTTTATTCGATTAGTTATCACTTTCTATATTACTTTAACTTTAACCAATTAAACACAATTTATTAAATAAAAACACTTTCAAAATCACGCGTCTGCCCTTGGTTGCATATGCAAATTAATCAAACTCCAAAATATACCAAAGGGATGAGAGACAAGAGAATAGTATTAGGAATGGTTAACACTGCGCTGCGCGGTGCAATTGCGTTAATACCGCAGCCGGAGGTGCCGCGCCAACACCAATATATGAAAAGCGCTATCGCCATTAACACCAGAAACACATGAGACACACACATAATTCGCCTTAATTCTTTGAAAAATGACACGTACTTTATTTTTGCTTTTAAGTGGTGAAACTTGACAATTTTAAAGATTTCACTCAAGAATGATGAAAATATCCTGGCATTTACAACATACATTCCTAGCAATTAAATTCGGTTGGCGGTACAAGCGGTGCTCAGCACCCAAAATTAAAGAAATAATGGACATGACACCGCTGAATGGTGTATTACACTGTATGACGACGGGCACTGTGGTGACCCTCAGATGGCGCCATGTTCAAATCAGCACACTGCGCTATTGCGCTGCGTTAGTGCGCTGACACCACAGGTGGCGCCGGCGTTTTGAGTGAGCGCTATAAAAATTGCGCAATTACCCATGGCTACCCAGTAAACATTAAAAATATAAACATTTCCATGGAAAATATGAGTGTTCTCTGCAAAAGGTGTTCAGCCCCCCTTCTTTGGCAACACAGAAATGAGAATTCTACTTAGTGAGGGGTATAATCCCTAAGTGCGGCCGAAGACCGCCTACGCAAAAGGTGCTCTCTGCAAAAGGTAAAGTAGGGACTGTCCCCTTTCGAATGAGGCGGTTTAGGGGGCCATGCCAACGCCCCCTCCCCCATCCACACGAAACGGAGGGCCCCGATTTCCCCGATTTGGTTCATAAATATTCAGAACCTACATTACTTGATTGGAAAGAAGGAACACTACCGAAAATTTAGCCAATAGTGGGTGCGGGGTTGGTTTTCTCTTTTTTTCCTTAATTATGTGTGAGAAAATTTTTGGAAGTCATCGATAACTATTACTTTAAGATTTATATAATGGAAGTTTTTTCATAATAATTATCAGGGAGATAAATATTATAAAAAAAATTTTATAATATAAGTCTTATAATAAAAATCTTTGAAGACTTAAAAATTTTTATCTCTCTGATAATGATTATAAAAGGACTTTTATAATATAAGTCCTTGAATAATATTTATAGATGACTCGAAAAATATTTATCTTAATATAATGATTATTTATTGACTTTTATTGTTTTCTCTTATAATAGTTATGTCTCTGCTTGTCTTAAAAAAAAATTATTAGGTACTTGTTTTAAGTCGAAAATTTTACTTTTCAGATCAAGGTAATTTTTCATTCAATCAGACCTTAAAATTACTTTCAAAATTAAAAATTTGTTTAAGTTTTTGTTTCACTTAAAAACAGCCTGTAAGACCTTAAAAAAAATTTTAATGAATTCCTTCACGCAAACCATCACAAATATTTGTTTAGAGCTTTAAAAAAGTTCGTAGCGCACTGTTTTCAAGTCGAAAAAAGAAAACAATTTTAAACTTCCTTCATTTTAAGGTAATTTCAAGGGTCATAGAAATTATTTTATTCAACGGGACAATTTTTTCATTCTGCATCTCTAGAGGTGTAGAATTTATTTCGCGTTCTCGAGATATCTGATTTTTTTTTTACAAAATCGCTCACTTTGCGGAGAAGGCTCACATTTGTATGTATGTTCATACTAACAATTATTAATTTGTAGAAAAAATACTAGTCACACCCCCACTCAATGGTCTAATCCTGCCCGGTATTACCAGAGACTCGATCCTAGCGCTAGCCAAACAATGGGGCAAATTTGAAGCACGCGAGGAAGTGATTACCATGTCACAAGTCTGCGAGCTGCTTAATCAAGGAAGAGTAAGTTTTTCATTTTGTTTTGTTTTTGTCTTTTTTTTTGCTAGAACAATGTCTAATTACATGATACCCCCTTTCTCACAGCTATTGGAAATGTTTGGCACTGGTACCGCCTGTGTTGTTAGCCCCATCAACCGAATTAACTACATGGGTACGGATTTGTACATTCCCACTATGGAACAGGAGAAACCCATTCATGAAACGATACGTAACACACTAACGGGCATTCAGTATGGCAAAATAGAGCATCCGTGGGCGGTGACCATAGAATAACTAAGTATGCATTCGGGCGCATGGCAAATACAGTGCAGCACCACCATAATTTTTCAACTGAAGTTGAGAGATTCTTGGCAAAGGAATCTGTATTAATAGTTTTTGTGTTTTTTTTTTGGTCATGAATAGCTTCACTTGCTACATATGACTACTTACTAAATACTTATGAAGCTTATGGTATGGACTTTGTAATGGTTACTATGTATTCTACTTGGGATATGGAAAACTCGAATTTGAAAAAGTTTTCTAACCAAATATTATATTTGTGTTTAGGACTTTTCGCACACCAGAGTCAAATGCTCTTAAGTACTATGTATGTTAAGGTGGTTCTTAAAATATCAACATCTAAATTTTGCTCTAGATAGAAATTGAAGACATCCACGAAAATATAAAAATGTTCAACAAATTTTTTGGGGTCGCTACCAGGGTTTAACATTTTTCTTTTAACTCAAAAATACGACAAAACTTTTACTTGAAATCTCATGGATAGACATATTATATAAACTTATTCAAAAAACTTTTCAAACCCTAGTAGCAACCCCTAAATATATATATTTTTTTTTCATTTTAAAATTTTCGTAGTTGTCCTTATTTTGAACTTAGAAGCAAATAAAGGGGTGACCCATAATTCTGATATATTAAGGACCACCCTTATGTATGTGCCTTAAAAAGTATGGTATTGGTGTGAAATTTTACTATAATTTTAAGCATTTATAAGATAGAAAATAACGATGGTAAAACATGCATAGGGAAAAGTCCTTTAATAATTTAAAGACTTAATAATATTTACATATTTTCTACTATATACATTTGTATAAGATTTAAAAATATTTATTTTCCGTTTTTAGTTAAGATAGTTTTAGTTAAGCTTACCAATCTAGTAAAATTAAAATATATGCCACAAATCGATAGTGATTGCTGAAGAAAAAGTTTCAGAAAATTGTAAAAGTCTTCCAACAATATGTTTTCTAAAGTTTTTTTTTTGTCAAAACATGCGTGATGAAGTGTAATTATTTCACAAATATTAAAAAATGTGCAATTATTAATACAAAAAACTAAAATTTTAGTTTTGCTTGCAACACTGTCTGACGCTCCTTATGAATGGAAGATATAAACAAATGGCGAAGGTATCGAATATATATGTAAGTAGTTAAAAATTTAACTAAATTATTGGATAAAAAAAGCTAAGTACCAGAGTCAAGTGCATTTATTAGTTTAGACATTATTGACCTGACGGCCTTTATATCATATTTTGTTTCGAAATTCAAAATTGAGGTTTTCTTTCGAAAGCTTTGTAAATGAGGTAGGGTGATCCTTAAAATATCAACATCTAAATTTTGTATGGGGTACGCCTTTGATATTTTGTTCTACGTACAAAATCCACCAACATTTCCAAATTTTAAACAAATGTTTAAAGGTCGCCTCCAGAGTTTGAGGAAATTTAAAGTGTTTTGTTTTTGAAATCGCAAAAATTTTTCCAAATTTTGACATAAAATCTCCTATTTTTTCGATTTAGGAAAAAATTAATTTTTTCAAACCCTGGTAGCGGTTTTTATGTAGTACGTAGAACTGCATAACGGGGTGCCCCTGATGCTGATAAATCAGGGACCACCTTAGTATACAAGTAATTTAATGAATAATTTTAAAATGAAAACAAAAAATTGTTATGTAAAACGTCTCCCTACAAGGCTTCCAAAAGCTGTGAATTTTTTAGCAGAATTAAAATCAAATACATATGTACATATGTACATATTTTTAAAAGAATTTATGTATCCCTATTTTAAAGTGCATGCAATAAATTTATGCTTGCGCTTTAAAAAAAAAAAGTACTTTGAAATAAAAAAAGATTGGATTTTTTTTAAATTTGAAAGCGACATACGAAAGAAACATAATCTGTATTTTATTTTACAAAAGGAGGGATGTGAAATGAAACCAAAGTGTCACTGAAGATGGCACTATGCCGAAACTGGTTTGTTGCGAAACGAAAATTAACAATGCATATAAAAAAAAATTGTAAATGCTGACAAAAAGGTCTACAATTTTGCTAAAAATTTGGCGATTTTTTTATAAAAGTTTAAAACTTATGTTTAGGTGATTTATATCATAGAATGAACTATATTTTTATAAAAAGTTAACGAAACAAATTTATGAAAAACATCCTGAATATTGAAAATTCTTCTAGTAGGGTCAGCGCACACATTCGAATCTTAAGTATTTTTGCAAGGCAATTTCGAAAAAAAATGCCCAGAGGTGGGGGTGCATTGTGTATACTTAGAGAACTGAAGAGGGAAGCGAGGCGTATATATTTTCCGCAATAAAAAGAGAGACCGAAATACATGAAATCGTAATGTTTCCATTAACGACACTAAAGCCCCATTGCGGCCATTGACGTGTTTATTCACGTGCTGGCGAAATAGAATACCGCAGACGATGGAATAATGAGCTGTATGAGCGTTGCAACAACAAAGACATAATGCAACGAATTAAAATACACAGCCTAAGCTGGCTCGGTTATATCGTACGAATGGACACAGACGCTCTAGGTACCTGAAAGTATTCCACATAGAATCCGCTGCTGGTAGCATAGGAAGCGTGTTACCACCTCTATGATGGAAGGACCTAGTGGAGTCAGACTTGGCTCCAGTGGTAGTATCAGTTGTCACCACGGCATTACTAAGCCCTGCTTAGTCGTTGCTAGAAGGGCGGAAGGCAAGGTAAATTAGGGCTTCGTTGAGCTATTTTGTCATTACAAACCATTTTTACAGAATATAAAAGTAATTACGGATTTTGTTCGAATCCTAATGAAGGGTCAATATATTTATAAATAATCTGATTGGTTAACGTCTATAGAAAATTTGTCTACTAGTTTATGCGTTGTAATATACGAGATAAGAGATTGGGCCAAAGGGCTGATATTGTTGCAATTACATGCATACATACATATTTATCATGACTGGCAAATGTTTTTTTTTTCGATTAGGCTACACTATGAAAAATGTTGTGTAACTTTCAATACCTTTATAACACTATTATTATTACTATTCCTTAAACAGTACCATTTAAAAAAATACAATTAATGCACCGTTACTTTCTCGATTAAAACAAATATATTTTATTAGTTTCATCTTAAATTTTTTGATTAAATCTCGAATTAAAATGTGCATGTGTAGACATTTCAAAAATGAATGAACACATTTGTCATTGGATGCTTCTTGAATGGATTTTTAAAACAGCCATATAACAGTAAACTTAATAAATAGTCAATAACAATAATTTATACACTTTTAAAACTTTTCGACAAAGTCAATTTAGCAGTACCTATTTTCCTTTTAATAACTGCTTACCTGATTTTTCAAAACATAGTAAATGTACGAATTATTTGCAACTTTTATTAAAAGGAATCGTAGCGGAATTGCTGATTTTCTATTTTCAGTAAGTGGTAAATCGGTTTTGAATGCATCAAAAAGACACGTTATTTTTTAGTTTTACAGTGAACATTTTAAATTGGTTTTCATATTTGTTTATTTTTAGTTGATCGAGAATTGTTTAGAAAATTTAAATTTTAAATAAGTTGTGTTCTTTTGTTATGTATGCATATGTATGTATTTTTCAGATCCTTAGTATTGGCTATAACATATTCATATTTTTTTAATATATTTTTATTTACTTGATTTCATTACATAGATTATATAGTCAAATTTAACATTTCAAGTTTTGGATTTTTTGTTGATTTTTATCAATTGTTTTCATTAAGAAGTTTCGTTTACTCATTACGTTGTTCTGCATTAGAATTGTGTTTTAAAAGGTAAAAATCTTTTGCTGCTGTCTTCAGCTGTTAATTGGAATACAAATCTTTTTGCTTAAAATAAGTTTTGTTTTCATAACTGATATTAAATCAAAATTTTATTATTTAGTAAGTTGGACTAGATACGTTTTTGTTGTTGTTTAGAAGTTTCAGTTCAGCTTAATAAAGGAATTTCCAGACAACACCATTCTGTAACTTTTAAAATGTACAAATCGTGTGATCCCTGCTTAATGAAAGTTTTTTCCAACGTGCGCTTAGGAAACCCTTTAAATGCAGGAAACATATACATACATAATAACTTAAAAAAACTTTCAACTTGTGGTGCAATATTGCTTGCTTTGATTGCAAACAAAATCTTTTTTTTTATAGCTTTCGCAGATATTATCTCTAATTTGGTTTATCAACAACCACTTACTCCTTTGAATGAGTGCGTATTTGGGTTAGTTTAACGATACATAATTATTAAATATGCTCACACTTTATAAGACTTCAGGTATAATTTTCAATATTGCAAACTGTTTCACTATTTCTTTTATACTAATTGCCTAATTTCATACTTGTTATGTTTACGCATTAAATATACACTTTCATTCATATGAATGTGCGCATAACTGTGGAGCTTATGAGCACACCTTTCATCACTATTAAGACAATTATTTTAATTACTTAAAACTCTAAATTCAAGTCTGATTTTTAAGTCTAAACATAAAACTACATATACAAAAATGTATGATTTAAAATATTATAAACAAAAAAAATCGTTGGCATTTGGTTATTATTTCAATGAAAATTAAAGCGAAATATTCCAAAATAAATATACACACTTATAGATATGTATCTTTACAAATTAATCAAAGGATAAATGCGCACATAATATCAACTAAATTGAAAATTTATCATCACAAATAAGGTGCGAATACAAAATTGTACATAAAATATTTTTGAATGATGAAAACAATGAGTTACTAGAATTTTACTACTACATATTTGCTCAGTCATCAAATCCTATTTCTATTCTCCTTCAATAAATGCTATTTAGGCCTTGAATAACTGTGGAAATTCATTAGCAATCTCACGCACAAGCTGTTGATCTGATGCGCTACACTCGGTCTCTTCACAAAAGATGCGTGTAAATATTTTCATAAAATCTTGCTTGCGATGCTGATGCTCCGAATAATTTGTGTTGCGCAAAATGCGTCGACATAACTCCAAATAGCAACGCCGCAGCTGAAAAGTGTGAATATACAGAACAAAATATATATCAATATAAAACGCATACAAAAATCACATATGTATCACTGCAATTTTACCGGATTTCCCGCGCATAAATCGGACAGTTGTCGTACTAGTATGTCAATGAGCACTTTGTTATCGTTTGTATAAAACATGCCAGCAGTATCTGGATTACTAAATATATCGATAAATATTTTTAGTACTGAATTTATGCTCTCAGTTGAATGTTTCAATACCCTTATGGGATCCTCTGTAAAAAAAAACGAACATAAGCAAAATACTGCAATAGTGAAATACATATGCAGTAAAATTGTAGTCACCTTCTCTATTTAACAGCAAAAGAATTTTTTCTGTGAAAACTTTCGCACTTGGCAAGTTCTGCATAGCTTCCACCACAACATTTTGTGAAAAGTCAGTAAATTGCAAATTAAAGGCCAGTATCAATGATATAACCATGTCAACAAGGCTCTCGGGGTTATTGCCTTCAACGATTTCCAAAAGAAAACTCGCAAAGTGTACGCCAAGGTAATCTGAAAGGAAAAAAAAATAAATATTAATGCAGTAAAACAAAATATTAAAGAGTACAGATGTAAACCTATAGTCACACTACGAAACAAAAATTTAAAAGTGTCTTAACTTAGAGTCTAGTTTATTTCTTTAAAACTGTCCACTCGGAATTCGGAATACAATATTTAAAGTGGAGCCTTATTTTTATACATAACAGGATATCAAAACTTATATGTATTTCGGAGACCTCTGAGGCAAGTCATTTTAGCACGCAAACGTCGTAGTTCAGTAGTTTTACATAAAAACATACATCCATATGTATTTAGTAGCAAAAAGAGATTTAAATTTTTAGTAACGGATATTTTTTGGTACTATGTGTGAAAAACTTGAGTGTGATAACTTTTATGTGTGATATCTGGTATTTAACTAAAGCTTGGAAACCAAAACAAGTATATAATAGTTAAATCAAATTTTTACTCACCTTGATGATTAACTGGCATCGGTTGCCCCATGGAAAATATTATTGTTAACATTTTGACAAGTTTCTTAAATTTATCTAGGTTGGCAAAATTGGTTTTCATATCTTCTACCTGCAAAACGAGTCAAATAGATGTACAATAGCTTGGTCAAATATTTTAAAAGGCATCTTTAAAACTTACGATTTCTAATGGCAATACAGATGTTAGTAAAATATCGACTATAATATGGTCCAAATGGCAAGCAGCAGTAAACGTTTTCAGTAGTAGCTGTTTTATCGGCCAACGCGTTTCCATTTGGTAATACTGCACTAGATTAATAAGCACCTGGTACTGATCACACGACATTTCATAGCAACTAATATTTTCGTCTGCATTGTTCTAGAATAAAATATATCATATGCACACAAATTAATGAGACATGACATATATTTTAAATAGAATTCAATTATTACAAACCAGTATTTCTACTAGCTCCTCCAGAAATTGTATAATATCTTCCTCATCTTCGTACAACATCCAAGAGCGTTGTTCAGTATCGTTTTTGCAATCAGCCAGCTGTGAAAATATGTACTGTAAGCGTTTTGAATCATGTGTCATACCCAGCAATGCTTTCGGAGTCTCCACTTTATCAGTCACATGTATCGCCACCGCCTCTAAGTATGGATTTATGGCACCATTATACAATTGCTCTAGACTAGTTAAGACAACGCGTAACGCCTCACATGACAAATCAAAGCTTAGATTTGTATTGCGTCGTATTATATCAACGATTTGGTAAACATCCGATGATTCAATTTTTAAATTCGCCCGAGTCACTCCATACATGGCGGCACTTACAGTGGCTGTGGAATTGGCGATAGCGCCGGGCTGTACGGCGCTATCTTCACTATCAAGCGCTTGACTATTCTCTACACTGTTAGTAAAATCACCACGTCCATCGTTCGCCAAAGTTGTGCCATCACGACCATCACTTATGGGCTCACTGCCATCAGATTTTTCTGCAACTTTTTCATCATTGAAATTTTCACTGGCATCTGTTAAAGTATTTGCGCCCTCGATTACACCGTTTCCACCAACACCGGCCCCATTACAACTGTTATTGCCACCACTACCGCCACCACCAGCATCGCCTGCTTCACTCTTTATATCACTGCCATTCTGTTTTGAATAACTACTATGTAGAGAAGATTCTTTTTGACTCGATTCTTTGTATGTGGTCACCACATCTTCGCTGGTTGTCGTTGTAGTTGTAGTAGTCTCTGAAGGCTCCGATGTGATGCTGTTGTCCTGTGTGATATCACTGCCCTTATTGTTCGACTGTGATTGTTGCGACTGTTGTTGTTGCTGTTGCTGCTGCTGCTGCTGCTGCTGAAGTTGTGATTGCTGAGTTTGTATCTGCATAGTGCCCATGCTAGTGGATTCCTGCATAATTTGAGGTATTACAACACCTACAGCAGGGCTAGACATCGACTTTTTATTGCTATCCAAACGGTTGGAACGTGGAGGACTTTGTGGACTATGTGGTGTTTGTTGTGCGGACGCGGATGTGGCACGATTGCTGTGTGATTTAGAGTAGTTTTTCTCACTAATGCTTTGCGAGAAAGACAAAGAAGAGTCGCAGTCACGTTCCGAATAGTCCTGAAAGATATATATATATATATATATATAGGTGCGATGGGCGCAATATTTACATGAACTTACCAAATATAGTTTTTCCATGGACATTTTCTTTTCACGCAGCCGCTCCAATAGTTCTTCTTTCGGCATGATTCCATTGATTTCCGTCTCTTTAGACTTTTCAAGTGACTCAATTGAGGAGTTGAGGAAGCTTATTAGAAAATCCGGTTCAACCTTGCAATTAACGGAAAGAAAATTTATATAGTAAAATTGATGAGCTTGTGATACAATTTTGAACTACATAGAAAGCATATATGTAAATATTATGATTATGGTACGCGAGTAAGTGTTGAGTTTTCGAGCTGAGCTCATTCGAATGTCCCTATAATAAGCAACAGCTGTACAGAAAAATCACGATCCCTAGAAAATCAATGTAGTTGTTGTTATAGCAGCATGAAAATTTCTCCCCTAAGAGTTTTCTTGGGAAAGGTGTTCGAGTGACAGTCCTTGGCCGGACATAAATCTGGGTCNGAAAGCATATATGTAAATATTATGATTATGGTACGCGAGTAAGTGTTGAGTTTTCGAGCTGAGCTCATTCGAATGTTCCTATAATAAGCAACAGCTTTACAGAAAAATCACGATCCCAAGAAAATCAATGTAGTTGTTGTTATAGCAGCATGAACATTTCTCCCCTAAGAGTTTTTTTGGGAAAGGTGTTCGAGTGACAGTCCTTGGCCGGACATAAATCTGGGTCACTCCGGTTACGAAGACCAGACTGTCGTGCGAACGGGACAGGGCGGATGCGCTTACTTCATTCCCACGATAGCCGGTTCTACATACCGAAATGACTCGGGTTTTACCCGACAAAGAGCTGCTGTTTCGGCGATCTAACCCCGTTTAGGTCGGCGAATTCCCTCAAAAGTTGTACGTCCATAGGGCTAAATCTGCTTCGCATACTTCTGCTCAGGGCTGGCATCGAGTCAAACCCTGGACCAGAAACCTACACCTGCTGCGTGTGCCAGAGACGACTATATCATAACTCCACCTCCGTCAGGTACAACTCCTGTAACGGGTGGAGTCCCCTCCGAGTTTGCTCAGGCCTTACGACTTACAGGAAATGGACCACCTCATTCGTGGCCCTTTGCTGCCTAAACCGAGCTGCCTCCACGATATACCACAGTCCGCCTGAGCAACTCAACACAAACACTACCGCAACACAACACAACACCAACACCACAAACACAATAGACCACAGACCAGAATATTCCGTAACGTCACATCAGTCAAGTGCAACACTTGCCTTAGCTGGTGTCCCTTTAGGGCATGTTCAGGACTGCGCACAACGCGCGATTGGCCGAGCGACTATGAGCACACGAAGATTTTACGATTCAACTGTAACGGACTACGGAGCAAGATCGAGGAGATTCATGGGTCAGCATGGACTATTAACAGCAGAGGCCCAAGAGACGAAGTTGCACGGCAATTTAACCCTGTTGAATTTCGCCGGATACAACGTGCANGCAAACCCTGGACCAGAAACCTACACCTGCTGCGTGTGCCAGAGACGACTATATCATAACTCCACCTCCGTCAGGTACAACTCCTGTAACGGGTGGAGTCCCCTCCGAGTTTGCTCAGGCCTTACGACTTACAGGAAATGGACCACCTCATTCGTGGCCCCTTGCTGCCTAAACCGAGCTGCCTCCACGATATACCACAGTCCGCCTGAGCAACTCAACACAAACACTACCGCAACACAACACAACACCAACACCACAAACACAATAGACCACAGACCAGAATATTCCGTAACGTCACATCAGTCAAGTGCAACACTTGCCTTGGCTGGTGTCCCTTTAGGGCATGTTCAGGACTGCGCACAACGCGCGATTGGCCGAGCGACTATGAGCACACGAAGATTTTACGATTCAACTGTAACGGACTACGGAGCAAGATCGAGGAGATTCATGGGTCAGCATGGACTATTAACAGCAGAGGCCCAAGAGACGAAGTTGCACGGCAATTTAACCCTGTTGAATTTCGCCGGATACAACGTGCACCGTCGAGACGGCGAGCGAGACAATGGTGGAGGTTTAGCGTTCATCACGCACCACACCGTGCAGTATCGTCTTATTGAAGCCGACATCGACCGCAGGGATACCATACTAGAATGTCAGGGTATTGCTATCCGGTCAGGCGATGTTGAGCTCGAAATATTTAACGTATACATACCCCCTGTCACCAACTGCCCGGCAGGATATCACCCTGAAATAGGTGCGCTACTCAGAGGTGAAAACCGAATGGTAGTTGGTGACTTTAACGCACACCACTACCTTTGGCACTCAAGCCTGTCGAATGATCGCAGGGGAACACACTTGGCTGAGCAGATAGACGACTCGACATTCGTTACAATGAACGACGACGCATCCACCAGGATTATGGACAGCTGCAGTCGCTCGCAGGTCTGATAAACAGCATAAAGTGGCGACCTATGTTGACTTTGGCATCAGATCATCTGCCTATAATCATCTCGATTGATGAACCTGCCGACTTTGCTTCCGCGGATCACCGAACCAATGTCAGCTTTTCTAAACCGGCTTGGAATGGCTTTGCGGATGTTACTGAAAGCATCTTCACTGCCCTACCCACACCAACCGACGTTCACGTAGGTGAGCGTAAGTTCCGCAGGTTTTTCACTGCTGCTGCCATCCGCTTCATCCCACCAGGATGCATTTCGGACTCCCGTCCGAATATTCCTGCTGGCACGGCTGTCCTAGCCGATGAGCGTGATAACCTTCGTCAGGCCGATCACGGAAATCCCCGTATCAGGGATCTCAACACCGATATTCGGCAACCAGTAAACGTACATAAGAGGAAGAAGTGGGAAGAGCATCTGAAGACCTGTAACTTCGCCTCTGGTGTGAGCAAGCTTTTGTCAACCGTGAGGTCACTGCCCAATCTGCCAAAGCGTGACGACAGAGTCGAAATCTCCTTCGGCGACCACGCCTGGGTGGGAGATTATCTATCCAAGGTCCTCAACCTGTATATGGTCACTCTCATCATTCCAGACATCTGGAAAATGGAGAGTGCTCCCACTGCTTAAACCGGGTAAACCGTCCAACAAAGGAGAGTCCTATCGTCCGATTACTCTCTTTTCCCCGGTTGCGAAGACACTAGAGGCCATTCTACTCCCGCACTACACATCAGGCATCAATACGGCTTCCGGCAGCAGGTTAAACTCGTACTAGGGAAGAGTATATGCAGATATGCGAAACGAATTCCCGGCATGCGTAGAGACACCCCATGACTCGAAACATCTCTTCGCATGCCCACTGAACGCCACTCTACTAACGCCTTATAGACAGACCCCATTGAGGCTGCACGCTTCTTGAGTCTCCACTTAGTAGAGCTTGACGACAACGATTGAAGGACTAACCGATCTAGGCGGGGTTGTTGTAGCCGCTACAACGACAACAACAACAATGCGCTTACTTCTTGTTGCTCTTTTGCTGCTGTATTAGCCTAGGATCGTGTTATGTTAGACTAGGTTAGGTGAGCTTCGGCAGCAGCCCTTTATGATACACCTTTACTGATCTTTGATCATCTACATAGTAAATAAATAAATTTTTGGCGCTTATACTTTTAACAAGTGCTTGGCCGAGCTTTTCTTTAATTTGTGTTACACAAACAGAGAAACCTACAATTTTACGCTTAAAAAGCTTCTCTCTTGGTCTAAATACTCTCGGAGGTTTGCTATTGGTTTCCGAGAGATGACCATTGTTAGAAAAACCTTTTTACCAGCGAATAAGCGAAAACACTTCCGGCCGAAACATCATCTACAAATTGGGGTAGAGGCTGGGCCCAACTCTTTACAAATGAGTAAGCGCCAAATACAAAGCAGAAGAGCATAGCACAATCGAGGATGTTTAAGCGAATTGACGTGGGAAAAAAACGCGAAACTTATAGACAAGTTTCCATCATCATCATAAATAGTTATTTACCAAGGAACAATGACAAGGAAAATCAGCATTGTGTGCAGCATGTTTATAGTAAAATTGTATAAAAGAAATATCCAAGGCAAGGACATCAGTCGCCAGCCTCCGTTATGAAAATTTTATTACTTTTATTGTTGTAATACGAAACCAGTAAGAAAATTAACTTCCATTCGGAACGGAGCTAAGGGAAATTTACTTTGGATATATTTAAGCAAACATGTGCGATTAAGATGTTTTTATCCTGAGAAGACTACTTCACTATGAAGAGTTAATTCACGCCGAATTTTCGGACAAAAATTTATTTTAACTGCCGAAAGTGAATTAACATCCCTGTGCATAAATGGCCCTAAGAAAAAAATGCGAATTAAATTATGAAATTGCTAAAATTTAAAGTTATCATCACCAATCATCAATTCAATAGGTCCTGTTTGACAATTTTGAAATTTGTTGCCATGTTTCAATTCAATAGGTCCTGTTTGACAATTTCGAAATTTGTTGCCATGTTTCCCTACAGAGACACTCTGCCGTCCTTGTGTGCGTTGATTCCAAATTAGATTGAACAAACGAGTGTGTGTGATGCATAAAAGAACTATAATTGAATAAGGTCATCCATGCAAAAACAAAAGTTAGAGGAACAAAGCAACAACAAATCACAAGGGGTGTCGACGACTTGTAAATAAGTAAGCGACATTATTAGACTAATGAAATGCTCTTCCACTTGATTGCCTGCAAAATAGTGAAAAATGCAGCTGCCTCCATCAATTTGACGCTAGCAGCAATATAAACAAGAGCACGCTAATCTTTGTATGTACATTAGACCGTATCACGATGTATGGGCCAAAACAAGTTCAATTCGTTCCAAGCGATTTTTAACACTCAGATACCATGTTTATTAGCGCGGGCCGAAAATCCGCTTTTTTAGAATTTTGAATGGTAATAGCAAAAATATGGTTCGTCATGCTCTAAACGCAATCTATGTGAAAGACGACAATTTTTGGTCAATATCTTAGGCTCGCCCAAGTCCATCAAAATTCAACTTAACTTACTTCGATTCTCTACAAAAAAGGTCCATATACAAAATTATGTAGGACTAATACTTTCGAAGATATTTGCAATTTTACTAAAAAAAATGTATTAATTAACGAATTTATTCATTTTTATTTTCTGAGCACAATGAAATTTGATGGACTTGGGCGAGCCAAGTCAAAGACCAAAAATTGTCATAATGAACCATAA